GTTTTGTGGAAAATCGCTATAGTGCGCGCTCAAAATCAGTCCGATTTTCATCAAATTTTCACCAAATGTTAGCAAGTGCATGCAAAACATGATAAAGTTGTAAAATTGACAAACAATAAAATAATGTAAGAATTATTCAGGAAAATCTTAAGTCGCGGTACCTTTACGCTTTTGAGTTATGTTCCTGCTGGTTTTAAGATATATTTATGAAAATATCATTTTATACAGTAAAATAGTTGTTCTAAAAAATTGTGTTCGGAAATTTTTGTATATTTCGTCATTCCGCTGACATGGCGATTTCTTTGACGACTGCAATATATTTCTGAATCGTTTGTGTGAATTGCTCTTTATTATTAAAATATCCAAAATTAGAACAAAGCCGAACACAATTTTGAAACTGACGTCTTTAGCTATGTCCTGTGAAAATTTGAGAAAAATTGGTCAAAACCCGCAGGAGCACAACTCGTTTGAAAATCAGTAATTACCGTAAAATTTTTCGGGAGAAAATTGAATTTGAATATTACATTTTCAATGTTTTTCTTATTGCAGCGAAATGTATTTTACTAAATAACTCTGCGAGTTTTCAACATTTTTCGTTCAAACTTCGTCAGATAGTAGAACTAGTCTAATGCTTTCATTGAAACCAATAAAAAAAATTTTAGGCAAAATTAACACTCAAAGGTGTTCTGTAACCTTAAGCTAATCGGCTTTTCGACAACCAGCCCGAGGTCACAAAGATGAAAGACACATGCCTGACCACTATGTCACTACTGTAACACTACAATGTATTTCCTTAATATTATTAAGCAACGTCTGCAGGTGTTCCCACCAAAGGAAGGAAACAAAAGCAAGAGAATTGTGGTGTTCGTCTGCATGACTCCGGCTGCGCGAGATGCGAGGGATATTATGAGCTGAGCATGAAGGAGAAAGCGAAATATCTTGAAGCGGCAAGACGACAAGTGAATATGTCCGAGGCTGTCGTTAACAAGAAACATAATGAAAAGGTAAGGGAGGGAGTGAGGGGCAAGGGGTGTGGTGGAGTAGGAAAGGAGGAAGATGGGGCGAGAGGAGGGAGGAAGGGGAGGGAAGCAGGAGGGAGGGAAGAGGGGGAGGAATGGAGCAAAAAAGGAGTGGAGGGAGGAAGGGAGGAGGAAAGAAGGAGAGAGGAATTAAGTTGGAAGAAATTGGGGGTGGGGGAGAGAGAGAGAGGAAAAAAGGAAGGGGGTGTATCCGACCAGCCTGACTCTTACTCAACATTCAGGAAGCAAACAAGGCGAAGCAGCAGTCACGTGAAAACAGAGCACTTCAAAGAAGATTAGCAGCCTCGTTCCAGTTAGAAGATTTTGGTGACATCCTCAAGTTTAACCAACTCAAGGTTTGTAATCTTCCTTTCAGTCCACTCAGCCGTCTGACTCAGCTCGTCATAAAAATGTAGCTTTGGTTTTAATGTCGCAATAGGTTAGTTTCACTCGAGATGGTGGTCACGCCTGCAGTTATCAGAAAATAATGATAATTCTTTTCCCTATATGTCGCAGTCTTGTGTGTGATGGGAAAAAATAAAATGAAATTGAGAGTTGTAGTTTAATTGTTTCGCTCCTACCGTGGATAATAAAATACATGGATAGGAAACTAGCTGACGTGACCTAATGTTTTCAATGAGATGATGGCGTTGAAACCTAGTTGCAAACCAAATTCTCAAAAACGGCATGTTTAGCGATAATACAGCTAAACATTTTAGTCAAAGAGCAAATAAATATAACTAGGCCATTCTACGATGAAATCTCCAAGTATTCCCGGTCAATTTTAGCAAATATTTCAAGTACTAAACAGTGAAAAATGCATCGCAAATTTCGTTAAAATTGGCGACGCCAATTTCGTAGCTACAAATGTTAAAAAATACAAAACAAAGACGAAAGACATTTACCTTGAATACTTTGTCGTGGCTTAGGCATGTTTTTAAAACAATTAGACCAGTTTATGCTTCAATATTACTCTTTTAAAGCGGAAAATATAACAAAAATGCTGAGAACTTTGGCAATACACGTGACGTCACAGATTGCAACTAGGTTTAGACTGTGACGTCAGGACGTTTCCTATCCAGTTATTTTACAATCCATACTCCTACCAGTGTCAACTGACGTTGACCACCATCTGCTGCCGTGTCAACTAATACCTTTTTTTTTGCTTTCCAAAGGTACGAAAGAAGAAGCTGACCTTCTGTAAATCTCGTATTCATGACTGGGGATTGTTTGCTCTGGAGCCCATCGCCCGAGATGAGATGGTGATCGAGTATGTCGGTGAAGTCGTACGACAAGCAATCGCCGACGATCGTGAGAAACGTTACGAACGTCTTGGCATCGGCAGCAGTTATTTATTCCGAGTCGATTCCGACACGATTATCGACGCTACGAAATATGGGAATCTCGCGCGCTTTATTAATCACTGTTGTGATGTAAGTGTATTTCGAAAATAGTATATGACCGCAGTAGTAACACTGGATCAAGAAAAGATGATTCTTACTGGACCTCTAGGAAGAACAGTTCAGAACTGATAGAGCTAACCAGTATAAATAAAGTTAGTTTAGTTTAGGTTTCCTCCTGTAGTAACACTGGATCAATAAGAGATGATTCTTACTGGACCTTTAGGAAGAACAGTTCAGAACTGATAGAGCTATCCAGTATAAATAACGTTAGTTTAGTTTAGGTTTCCTCCTGTAGTAACACTGGATCAATAAGAGATGATCCTTACTGGACCTCTAGGAAGAACAGTTTAGAACTGATAGAACTATCCAGTATAAATAAAGTTAATTTAGTTTAGGTTTCCTCCTGTAGTAACACTGGATCAATAAGAGATGATCCTTACTGGACCTCTAGGAAGAACAGTTTAGAACTGATAGAGCTATCCAGTATAAAGGGAAAACGAACATATTTCTAAACGGTCATTTCTTTTCTCATTCAGCCAAACTGCTATGCGAAAGTTGTGACATTTGAATCGGAGAAAAAAATCGTAATTTATTCGAAACGCGACATCGGGGTAAATGAAGAAATCACGTATGACTACAAGTTTCCTATAGAGGACGAGAAGATCCCCTGTCTATGTGGAGCAACCCAGTGCAGAGGCACATTAAACTGAGGTACCGCACTCACTCGTAGTATAGCCTCGGCACCGTCCGTCAGCGCTTCGTAATTACCCGTAGATTACGAGGCCTTGGATAACACAGGCGTTTTCTCCTTAGACAGCCTGGTCGCAGGCTGGGACGTTGCAGGAATTTAATAGCCTCGGCATAAGGTCAATAACTGTATATTAAGCCCATGTTTTTTCTACCAAGCATATTATGGACCCGAGATCTCGATGTAATTGTTTTAAGAATTGATGCACAAGCTGCAGTATTCGTTAGGTATGAATCAATGGTCTGATAAACAAGTTAATGAGATCGAAGCACAAAAGAACCTAATAAGATTTAAGAGCAATTAAACTTTAAAGTTTACAAGAAAAACCTTTATTTCTTATGATTTGTATATAATAACACGGCGATTAACCCTCGTTTTATAGAAAACACTAATTTCGAATTTTGTATTGCCAATCCCCAGAACTACAAAATAAATGTTTCAGTTACTAGATTTCTATATCGAGAAATACATAGCTACTAGTGATATATAGGTAATAGGTAATAGACAGGGCTGCCGGGAGGCAGGGACAGGGGGCTATGTTGCCTCGGGCCCCAGCTCAAAAGGGCCCCACAAAGCGACCAAGGCCCTCAAAATTTCTTGATGCAAGAATTGATTAATACATGAATCCTCAGTCCCGGAGCGTAACGTAATTTATTATATAGTAGAGAGTGAGATACTGAAAATTACACAGCGAGATATTTTCCATATCTTCACTAGTGAAGATATCGATCACGTGACTTTTTCTGATTTGCTTTTGAGCGTGAAATTTCACAATTTTTTGCTTGGGGCTATATAATAAACAGGACATTACACGGTGGCTTGAAGATATGACTTTTATCTTCTCGTGTTAAAAACAATATTTTACTCACTCGCTGCGCCTCGTTCGTAAAGTACTGTTTACTAAACGAGCAGGAGTGTTTTATTAGGTTTAAAGCCACGAGCGCGCAGCGCGAGTGGCTTTAGACCTAATAAAACACGACCTGTGAGTTTATTAAACGGCTTCAAACACGACTGCATATTCAATAGATATACCGCCTTATTATTATTCTTTATATAAAAAATACTAATGAGGACACGACAACAATAGGTACTGCCTTATTAGTATTCTTTATATAAAGAATACTAATTAGGAGTGTTTTATCAGGTTTAAAGCCACTGCACGTGACATATTATGGTTGACATGATTTGCCAGTAAGCTTATGAATTATTAATGAGTGTTTGAAGTACTATTTAAAAAACGAGCAGGAGTGTTTTATTAGGTTTAAAGCCACGAGCGCGCAGCGCGAGTGGCTTTAGACCTAATAAAACACGACCCGCGAGTTTTTTAAATGACTTCAAAAACGTATGCATAATAAGTCAAATCTTTATATAAAAATCTTTATATAAAAATCTTTATATAAAAATCTTTATATAGTTTGCATAACAATGGTCTTTTGTTAAAGTGTTCTTTAGCTGGTATAAAGACGTATGCACGTGACTAATTTCTTACTCAAGATTGGATAATTGCTTCATGAATTATTGAGTTTTTGAAATATTGTTTTCACCACTCGAAGATAAAAGTCGTATCTTCGCGCCGCCGTGTAATATCCTCTATATATTGTAAAACATCGCTTCGCCCGTTTCACAATTATTACCTCATAAGGCCCATTTCCTCTCAAGAAAATTTTCCACGGACAACAAAATATCATTAGAAGTTGAAAATTATCAACTTCAGAATTTTTTCCGGCGGAAAATTTGTGTCGGCCATGAATCACATTTTACAAAATTTTCTTTCTGCGGAATATTTTCCTGAGTGAAAATGGGCCCATAGAGGATCCCCTTGGAAAATGTCATGATGTCTTAAGGTCCGTTTACACGCGGGCAATTTTTGCAGCGATTTTCTCCTTTTAGAGGATCTGAAGGAGTAGATTACTTAATAGTGTTGTTATGAGATTTCATAACCTGGAACATTTATAACTCATTCACTCCTTCACATCCTCCGAAAGGAGAAATTCGCAGCAAAAATCGCCCGTGTAAATGGGCCTTTAGGGACCATGGTTTCCCCCGCTACCTCTCGGCGGCTCTACTAAGAGGACGGCAATATTGACATTAACATTTGACAAAAACAAGTATTTCCAGTTTGCACATACTGTAGCTTATTATACTAATCATTGAAACAAGTTTAAAACAAAGTTTCTGCAAGCTTGCTGTATATAATTCACGCTTGTGACAAATGTCACAATAACAGTTTATGGTCAGGCGCTGACGTTGTAATGTATAAGGGTATTTTTGAGTTGTCGCTCATCTGTACGTTGTAAAATAATTAATGTTCTCGTGGTGTCTTATTTTCATAGAACTCCAAACTATTTTGTTCCACAGAATATTCGTAATTTCCAAACTGATATATTCTTCTAAATATGTCTTTTGCTGATATATAAAATTTATTTATTTATAATATGGTGTGTGCAGTTTTGGCGTCGCGTGTTGTCGCGTGGAAAGCATAGCGAACGAAAGAATTTTTTTATAATTCTTCATTTAAAATAGAGATGGATGTCTGCACGAAGTTGGTCAAAGAAAAACAGGGGTTTTGGGTTCTGTAGCTCAGTTGACAGAGCTAGCCCAATGGCTAGTATTCCAAAGGTCGTAGGTTCGATTCCCACCGTGGCCAGGCATATTTTTCAAGCTTGCCCGTTGTGGATATATACTCAGAGTAAGATCACAAGCATCATATTCACCTGAGTACATTACACCAACACAGAAAAAAATCATGATTATTAGATTACATTGATATCGAAGGAACTAGATTCTGTTCCGAAAAATCGCATACTCGAACCGACCTGACCGCGTAGCTCAGTTGGCAGAGCATTGGGCTAGTATTCCAAAGGTCGTAGGTTCGATTCCCACCGTGGTCAGGCATATTTTTCAAGCTTGCCCGGTGTGGATATACACTCAGAGTAACATCACAAGCATTATAAATATCTTCAACCAAAAAAATTCCTTCCAGCTAGCGATGTTAACTGCTCGATTATTTATTTTATCATCTTTGCCCAGAACCATTTCCAGTATATATCCAATCTCGTACCCAGAACAATGCCTGTGCGCGGGCTGGGAAGGCATTGGCTCTGGGGAAATGGACAGCCGGAACCCCTAAATTTGGGGGTTCCGGTTCTTTGTCGGCATGCACGATTGACAAACGTTAAACAGGCATTGCTCTGGGTACGAGAATGGTATATATCACGCTCTCTGGATCACGCTATTCTAGCTAGTTCTTTTGTATAGTTCGTTTTGTGTTTACACAAAGGGCACTTTCCATGTAATGGCCTGACCGGTCAGACCCGAATTTTTGTCTCTGTATCAATGGAAAGATCTGGTCTATGACTATGTTTCTCAAATATCTAGCGAAAATGGACCTCATTCTAACTGTATCTAAATTTTCCGGTCAGATAGGTAAAAAACCCAAACGTTTTGTGTGCCATTCAACAATTTGAGCGGTCTGACCGTGTTAATGGAAAGCGCCCCAATAAAGACTGATGCTCCGTCAGATGGATGAAATAATAGTAACAGCCAAACACAACAGAAGTAGGTAATAATTTACTCTTATTATACAAATATATACATATTGCAATTTCTGACTCAGCTTGTCAGATAGTCCCGCAGTCTTGATGAAACACATTTCAAATAGTATGTTTCACGATATGCGCTGCTTCCACTACCGTCGCTGGAACAGCTCGTCGGACTCTTGCGTCGTTTACTGGTACCGTGAATCTGAAAGAATTTAACCATTTTTATTGCCTGGTTTACACTATCGAAGTTCCTGTGATCACAGTAGGAATTTTGCCAGGGGTGGAAAAAATGGTAATCGTTCCATGTTTCGCGCACCAATATAGTAAACGTTATGTAATGGATATTATATAGTGTACTGAAAAGTTAACTGGATACCTCTATACCACTGCTCCATACACGTATATACACACCCTAACCTTAAACCTAACCCTAATACCTAACCCTAAATTATATTGGTGCGCGAAACATGGAACGATAACCGAAAAAATGGGCGAGCACGTGAGCACTGCTCGCAGGAAATGCCTTTGAATGAAGATTTGCTACTGAAAATTTGAAGGAAACCTTGGTTTACCATTTACATGGAAAACCCATCCGGTTTGAAATTGTGCTAATGGCAAGCAAAATTTCGGATAGAAAATCCCATTCGTATTATGCGCTTTCCATTTAGAGTGACTGACCGGAAGGCACTGAAGGATTGTGTTCACCATTTACATGGAAAACCCATTCGGTCTGAATTAAATCGCGAAGAGCCTGGAACTGGTGAAAAAATAAAAGATGTAAATGGCACAAAATTTACCGGTTGAAACGTTCCAATCGGTAAGAGAGGACAACCTTTTCAAACAAACCGTTTATTCCTGAAAACTTCCGGTTGGGCCGTCGAAATATGCTTGTTCCATTTACTTTCCGTATGGAATCACCGGAATTTCCATGTAAATGGTAAACAAACCTTAACACCCATGTCCCGCTATGGGCGCAACAACATATGGTTGGCAGACAATATTCCTTGAATTTCAAACCATGGTCAGCTAGAACACTATATGTTTATGCACATGCAGATTTAGCACAAAAATACTCCGTTGGTCTGCAGGAAATTTTTGTCTCCAGGTTCTGCTCCCAGGAAGAGAATTCTTTTTTCCTGCCCTGAATTTTGCATCGGTAAATTCTAAGTTTTGAAGGATTTGTAAGAAATGTTTGAATAATGGACCATTTGCATTATAGACTAAATTTTGATCTATAGTCAAAAATTTCATCACAGCTTGAAAGAGCATCACAAAAGTAGTAATATTCCAAAGTTTAGTTGCGAAATGTTGTAAAATGCGGATAATATAGCCTTGCGAAATTGCAATTTTCAGTCATTTTGTAGTACAAACGGGAAATTGATGCCCCAACACCCGATTGGGCTGTCAATTTCCCGTGCGTAATACAAAATGACTGAAAAACGGCAAACTTCGCATGGCTATATTATCCGCATTCTACAACATTTCGCAACGAAACTTTGGAATATTACTAATTTTGTGATGCTCTTTCAAGCTGTGATGAAATTTTTGTCTAGATCAAAATTTAGTCTATAATGCAAATGGTCCATTGACAAACATTTTTTGCTAATCCTTCAAAACGTAGAATTTACCGATGCAAAATTCCTACTGTGATCACAGAAACTTTGATAGTGTAATCCAGGCCTGAACATTAATAATTATTTTTAAAAAACACAATGAAAAAATCATGATCGTGAAGGAGTCTGTATATCCGATACAAAATCCTGTCGATTCAAGTTCTCATCACAAATCACAAGCTAAACAACATGACGACAGGTTTACTTACTTGACATTAGTTTTGTTGTTGACAACAAATAGTGGATTCTGTTGGGTGAGTATTTCATCATTGACGGAAATACCTGCGAAAGAAAAACCCCAGTATTAATGTAAAAAAATAAAGCAAGGTTTCCACCAGGTTATCTCAGGAAAGTATAGAGCAATGTGCTGTAGTTTACCATCTAAATATTGCTTGAGCACAGCGCGAAGCTGCGTGTTTTCTTGAAGTAAATCGCGTTTTTCTTTATCCAAGGTAAGCTTGTCAAGGACAACCTTGTTGTATCGTTTCCAAAAGTTTTCTAACGATGTGTACTCGTGAAGAACCTAAAAATTGAGAAAAATTCAACTTATATATTACTCCATTTCTTTCCTTCCATTCTTTCCTTTCTTCCATTCCTTCCTTCACCTCCATTTCTCTTCCTTCCTCATCCCCCCTCTGCTCCATCTCTGCCTTCATCCACCTCTCCCTCGGTCCATTCCTTACCTCCCTTTCTCTCCACCCCTCCCTTCTCCACCCCTCTTCCTTCCACCCCTCGCCTTTCCCTCCCTTCCCATCTCTCTTTCACCCCTCATTCTTCTTCCACTCTCCCCAGTCCATTTCTTCATCCCTACCTTTCTCCACCTCTCCCATCCCCTCTCTATCCCTTACTCCTTCCTACCTCCCTCTCTCCCATAAAACAGCTGCTGGTGTACCTTGGCAAGACTTTCTGTGGGTTCTTCAAGTTCAGCTGTCTTGGCTTGTTCGTCCTCTTCTTCCGTCAAAGATGAAGAATAAAATGGCAGAACTTTCTCTTGCTCAGTTTCCAGCTTTCGACACATTTCACCAAGACGGAAAATTTTTGCTCCCTACATTGAAAAAAAACAGTATTTTGTCACTTTGAGAGTCTGCTACTCATTGCCTTCGTTGTGACTTTGCTGATGAGATGAACTTACTGTCCTACCCAGAGAGAAGACATTGTTTGTTATCCGCTCTGTGATGTACAGAAACCGAAGGTGAGCGTTGGTCATTTATTTCAAACCATGAAATCAGACGTGCTTAATTCTTTATGACGAATCCATGTTAAACTGACCTTTCCCTTTAAGCGATCCAATTCTTTGATCGCAGCATTACTTTGTAACGTCAGTTGAGTAAGTGCATATCTGAAAATGATAGAATAAATACATGTTAATAATTAGCTCAATTTAAGTCACGTGTGATCACCATTGTTAGAGCAGATGGGCAGAAGTTCTTCACTACATTAGAACACTCTTCATTACATTAGAACACTCTTCATTACATTAGAACACTCTTCATCACATTAGAACACTCTTCATTACATTAGAACACTCTTCATTACATTAGAACACTCTTCATTACATTAGAACACTCTTCATTACATTAGAACACTCTTCATTACATTAGAACACTCTTCATTACATTAGAACACTCTTCATTACATTAGAACACTCTTCATTACATTAGAACACTCTTCATTACATTAGAACATTCTTCATTACATTAGAACACTCTTCATTACATTAGAACATTCTTCATTACATTAGAACACTCTTCATTACATTAGAACACTCTTCATTACATTAGAACACTCTTCATTACATTAGAACATTCTTCATTACATTAGAACACTCTTCATTACATTAGAACACTCTTCATTACATTAGAACACTCTTCATCGCATTAGAACACAAGATATTACATTAGAACATTCTTCATTACATTAGAACATTTTTAGGAACGTTTTACCAAAAATCAAAATACCTTTCAGACTCTCTGTACTTGTTCATTTCTGCTTTGAGTTGATGAAACTCTACAGCAATGACTTCTCTTTGCTGCAAGTAAAATGAAAATACTGGTTTCAATTTGAGAATTCAGTGCAAAACGAGATAGTTGGATGAAAGAATCTCTACCTCCTTAATAACGCGGTTTCTCTCATCACATTCCCTAGCATTGTTGGACAACTTCACTTTCAGCTGAGCAATTGTATCCTAGATAGAGAGATGTTTAAGAACAAGGCAGTTCTGTGCAGTGATAAATGGAATTTGGTGGCGCAGTTGTCAGAGCAGGCTGATCCTTCCACCTCTGAGATCGTGGGTTCGATTCTCGCTACGGACTCATTTGAAAAGAGTGAGTCAACGCTCTGGCGAAAGTCGTGGGTTTTCTCCGAGTGCTCTGGTTTCCTCCCACAGGGAAAGTTGACAGGGTGGGTTAGGATAAACACAATTAAGAAAGTAATATTACAATTGTAAAGATAAAATAGTCTAGGCTAAGTAAGTAATCAGGTAACACTTGATCATATCATAGTTAATATATATGACATGAAATCTGCTGTGTTGGTGTAATGTACTCAGGTGAATAAGATGTTTGTGTGATGTTACTCTGAGTGTATATCCACACCGGGCAGGCTTGAAAAATTCCGAAATATCGCATACTCGAACCGACCTGACCGCGTAACTCAGTTGGAAGAGCATTGGGCTAGTATTCCAAAGGTCGTAGGTTCGAATCCTGCCGTGGCCAGGCATATTTTTCAAGCCTGCCCGGTGTGGATATACACTCAGAGTAACATCACACAAACATCTTATTCACCTGAGTACATTACACCAACACAGCAGATTTCATGATTATTAGATTACACTGATATCGAAGGAACTAGACTCTGTTCCGAAATATCGTATACTCGAACCGACCTGACCGCGTAGCTCAGTTGGAAGAGCATTGGGCTAGTATTCCAAAGGTCGTAGTTTCGAATCCCGCCGTGGCCAGGCATATTTTTCAAGCCTGCCCGGTGTGGATATACACTCAGAGTAACATCACACAAACATATATGACATGGTTTGGAAACCCTTTGTTTTAGGTGAATGTGTACCTTGTGCAGGGTCACGGTTAAAAAATACTTTGTCTTTCTATTGTTTGACAATAGTCAGCCAGAAAGCTTGGCAAAGGGAATGGGTACCAAGTATTTGTTTTGCCTACCAGGGCTATATCTTACGGCATATTGTGCAAATAACGAAGTATAATTACCACCATTTTTCGATGGAGAATGTTTGTGTTACATCGTTTGGTCAATGGACCAATCCCCCAATTAACCAAATTTTTGAACTCAACAAGTCTAGACAAAATCACAGCATGAAAGAGCATCACGAAATTAGTAATATTCCAAAGTTTCGTTGCGAAATGTTGTAAAATGCGGATAATATAGCCTTGCGAAGTTTGTAATTTTCAGTCATTTTGTATTACGCACGGAAGTGGTAACCATTTCCAGTTTGTAATCTAAAATGATTGAATTGCAAATTTCGCAAGGCTATATTATCCGCATGTTACAACATTTCGCAACGAAACTTCGGAATATTACTAATTTTGTGATGCTCTTTCAAGCTGTGGTAAAATTTTTGTCTAGACTTGTTGAGTTCAAAAATTTGGTTAATTGGGGGATTGGTCAATTCTCATTGATTAAAACCAATATGTGCAGGGTCAAACTGACTGTTCAACCTCCATGTTTGTTTATAGCGTAATTTCTTTGAAGTTTGCCGGGTTTCCTAACCAGGTCTTATAACAACCATGATCATATTCACATGTAAGTTTTCGCTACAGAAATGGTAATCGTGATAAATTCTCTGCATAGTGGACGAAGCAAGAGTCTTGTCAGGGTTCATGAGGAGTGTTCAAAGACTTGTGTCTTCACCTGTATTCTTTGTAGCTTTCTCATCTGTGTTTCAATTTCTTTCGCACTTTTTTCATCTCTTTGTTTCAAATTTTCAAAAGCATTTTTTCGTTCTTCCGTCGTTTCATTGTAGTTTTTCAAAGCCTAAAGAAAGGTACATCGAAGCATTAAGAACAGCTAACCAAGCCCCAAGGTTGTGTGACTGTCAACTCTCATGCACTTTTGGCTGGTAAAATGGCGAGTGAGAAGTTGTGTTAGAGTTACCTGTTGAAATTGCCGCCATAGGTCCTCAACCGTTCCTTCCAGTTGTATTCGAAGAGTATGCTTTTCTTCCAGGTTCTGAATAAAAACAGATTTGATCAACTTTGTAACAATATGTATTACATACTTTAGACCGGCACTTGCGGTGTCATGGTAGATCATCACGGTAGGACGTTCAATCCTAGGTACCTCGGAGTACAACATTAGACAAACCTACTTTATTTTTAATTTCATCTCTATAACTTTGAAATTCCTGTTTCATCTCGCCATCTTGCTCTTGATTCTCTTGTTCCATTGCAAAAACAATGTCTTGAATGTCTGTTATTTCTTGTTTATGTTGCAAGATTATTTCTTGTCTGCAGAGACAACAGTAATATTGTCTGGTGTTGGTATACTGTTGGCATAAAAGTTGGACTGGACCTAACCCTGCTGAACTAGCAACCTTAAGCTGACTAGCAATTTACAGACCTGTCAAGTTTTGAAAAATTTAATGCCGGAAGGTAATTTCATTAGGTTTAGTGTGCACAAGGTGCCACCATGGTTGGCGCGCCCATGCAGGGGGGGATTTTGAAATTTGAGTTCCCCAGATCGCCAGAAAATTGCCTTTCCGAGGTTTTTTCCGCCTTTTTCGAAGCACAAACCTTATGTGTTCATGCTATAAAAATATGAAATGTTAGCATCGCTCCTCCTTCCCAAACGGAAAAAAATAGCGCTCCTCAGCTCAGGAGTCTTCCAGTTTTTTCTCTCTTTTTGATATGCGATTGAGACACACATTTTACTGGCGTTGGCAAAAGGAATGCATTGGACATTGTGCAAATGAAAAGAAATGGGAGTAATTGCCCCACAGGAAGAAACATCGACAAGTTAAGTTTTAAAAATGCGGGAAGAAAGTCACTTCATGCGTGATGCGTGAAAGCAAACAAAAATGCGGGAATTTCACGGTAATTGGGGGAAACTGGGGAGGTCTGGATCTAGTGCAACTTTTACACCTCCCATAGGCAGAGGTGTAGTCACAGGCAGAATACAGGGGTCTGACCATCCCCCCCACTCAAAACTGAGAAGAAACTGGTTGGGGAGATGTAACCTCTTAATGTTTGGGGACTGGTTACGCCCCTGACCTTAGGCTTAAGATTGGCTGGTCCAATCCAACTAACAGGTCTGCCCATGGTGAAGCAGTGGTCAGATGGTAATCTTGTATTTGGCTGCAAATATTATATAGAATTGAGTAAATTAACTGACCTTTCTTTATCAAATTCTTGTTTAATTATTTCCTGTTCTTTTTTGAATTCTTCTGAAAGCTTTTGCAATCTGTTCTGATGTAAATCTAACAACAAAATTTATCTCATTCATATTTGGCACAATTCTGTGCCAAGGTAAAGACAGTTTGTCTCACAATTCTTCCATCTATATAATTATGCTAAACAGAAGGATCATCTTGTCAATAAGAACTATCTTTGCAGTTTGTCTACAAATTTGTTTACACTTATTTAACCATAGACGGATTTTCAGATTTTGCTCAAGGGGGAGATGAATGAGGGGCACATAGTGCCACTGCTGAGCAAGCTGGGGGAAAGGTTGGGAGTAAGCAGGTGAAGCCCCCAGGGAGTTTTAAGATTTTTGGTCTTATTAATATTTAGTACCCCTACATACCCCCAGAAAATCCATCTAACTACATCCATACCTATTAAATGATCTTGATTCTGCAGATGACTTCTTAACGCCATCTCGTATTGTTCCTCTGCCTCCTCAATATCCTTAACGAGCGACTTGATGATCGCTTCTTTACGATCAATGATTCTTTCAAATGTCTGACTTAGAATCTCAATATCTTTCTTCAAATCTTGAGCTTTACCTAAGAATGTTAATTAACCCATTGAGTGGCAGCACTCTTCCCCTGATGAGTAAAATCATCTGGCATCAGACAGAGTAAAAAATAAAGTAGGGTACATCTGGGCACATTGCCACTTAAAGGGTTGAGCAGGTTTCATGACTCATGTGAGCAGAGTTATTAGCACCCCCCCCAATGCTCATTCCCAGTTGCTCCATGATTGTCTCAGTGTAAAGCTATGGCAAGTGATGAACCGTTCACCCCAAAATAGGTAGCATGCAGATTTTTATGGGCTCAGACAATGAAAGCAGATCCTTGTTTAATTAATATTTTGAACACTTGTGATGTCTCAGTGACATACTTTCTCTCATAATTACTCTCCATTGATTTTGAAGTTTGTGAAGATTAAATTTTGCATTCTTTTCTTCTTTTCCTAATTTATCCTACAAATGTAGACAAGCAGTTGTAAGTCATGGGGAATGCAAGCCCCCCCCCCCCTCTCAATATTAGCAAGCTTTAGATTTGGGGACAACTACGACATTTGTTGCTTGCAAATACTTACAAATATGCTAGTCGTCCTCTTAAACCATTCCATACTAGAGGTGTGCATTGGATTGGATTGGACGTTTAGAATCTGACAATTGGCTAATGTTTAATTTTGTCTAATTCGATCCGAGTTTTGATAAAGAATTCCGATCCAATCTGAGAATCCTTTAATAAAATACACTTCTCATTCAAGTGGAAATATTTAACCAAATAAATATAAAAGCAAGAAATACATGTCAAGAAGCTGACAAAGTGCATGATTCTGGATAATTAATTCATTTTATTTCAAATACCGAAGTCCGATCCGACTACGAAACAACTTTATCAATCCGATCCAATCCGAAATGAATATTTTTGTTCTGAAATTGGATTGGTTTCAGATTTGCACACATCTAGTGCTCACACCATAATCTTGTAGTAGTTTTTACTACAAGACTTTTAAAAAATCCTGTTGTCAATTTGGATCATGGCTACGAGATTTGTATGGTGTCAGTACATGATGGCGAAAGTAGATGACATCATGGCATATCCAATTAATCTCATGGTCATACTTGTAGCGTAATCTAAATCTCTCTATCAACAGAATAATGCACTGCATAGTATCACAATAGTAACATGATGCAGAGTCTGCAGACATCATGAGATATGATCCAGTGATCAGAATGTTCCATTGGGCATTGGCATCAGTCTTTTCATTGTTTTGAAAATCCCACTGTTCTTCATGTCATCCATACAGGCAGAAATGCAAAAGGCAAACTCTAAAACAACCTGCTAATATCTTACTAGTATTATATCTACTAGGAAGATGACAGAGATACTCAAAGCAATATGGTATAAATACTTTCAAAAATTGTGTCAACATTTCTTCCTTTTTCTTCCGCATCTCCTCTTCAGCGAGACGTTTCTGTTCCAGGTAAATCATCCTTTCTTCTTCTGTCATATTTGCCAGCTTCTTGGCGCCTGACTTTTTCTTTTTTGGCGGCATTTTCACGCCAAAATTTCTCCAAAACACAAGAAAGTTCAAAAAAATAGAATACAAAAATAAACAAAATGGCGAATGTTTAAGTAGTTGTCATAGCAACAACGTCATCGTTACCACTTCGGCAAGTCTTCGGTTTCACGACTGTATAATTAGTTTCCCAAAACTTGGAAACGTGTCTGCCCAAAATTTATATTCAAGGAGTGAAGAAAATTTTGGCTTGAAATTCTGCTTGTTTGCAGGAAATTGTGCAGATTTTTTTGCTGTAAAGTGATGAGTCGTGGGTGTACATTGGAGAGCAGTAAAAGTATATCTGCTGAGGGCAAGAATATTCATCGTATTGGAGTTGTTGGATATGGTCATCTGGGTATAAAAAATAATAAATTTCTATCAAGCATCTAAGCAGTTGTTGTTATCTTTATATTTGTATCAAGTATTTCCATAAGTTGCATCTATGGAGAGGAACCCTCTCAAAGAACACTCAACACAAATGTTGTCTGGTTGTGAGGTGGTGCCGGGGGGGGGGGGGGGGGTGG